ATTAACTATATCGAATTTTAGAGCGCGAATGTACCTAAAATTTCTTAGAGAGAGAAACTATCTTAAAGTTTTTAGAAACTTTAAAATTTCTTAAAACTATCTTAAAACTATCTTAAAATTTCTTAGAGAGAGAAACTCCTTTATGTTGGTCAAATTACCCATTCTAATTATAATGTTGTATTTTCTCCCTTTGGTTGTTATGTGCCAGTATATTGTGGAAATTGTAACGGTCCACTTCTGTAAATTGTGGCAACCAATTTTTTTTGTTATTAAAAAAGAAAAAATTGTATGTTCTGCCCTTCTGAAAAGCAACTATTTTGTCTTTGAAAATTAGGCATATGCTAAATGCCAACCAAATCTTTTAGAAAACCCCTCTAAAAAATTATCAAAAAAGGGAGTATATTCTCTTAGTTCATATTTGTGATGTTTGTTTTTATGATCAAGTCATTTATTCTATTACTCAATCATGTCTGACTGTCTACGAGCTATTAAATCTGCATCGGATATCAAGTTTTGTTGGCTCTTCCAAGTACCATTCTATTTTGTTAGATGTCTCGACTATTTTTTTGTCTCCAGCGAAGATCTGAAATTTATTGTTAGTGAGGCTTGTTGATATATCATTGCTCGAGCCTACTCTGTTATGGCCATCCATTCCTTAGGCTGCTCTATTCGAGCCTTTTATTTCTGAGGCTTGTTGATCCGCTGTTGCTTTCTGTATTTGTTAATTAAGCAATCTGAGCATGACAACCACTACTTCTGTTTGTCACACTATGTGCCTGAAGATTCAACTGCTCATTTCTTCAACTTAGTATTCAAACTCCAACTGCTCTCTCTTGTAGCATCTTGAGTTTGAAGGAGAGTGTCAAAGGAAATTATATATTGCCTATCAGGTTAATATGGAAAGCAATGGTTTAAAAAACGGATCGGTGACCTGGATCGGGCACCTAAAAAACCGATTCGGATCTGCGAATCGGCGATTCGGATCGGGAATCGGCTGAATCGGTCGGATTAAAGCTTCAAAAAAATCACAAAAAAATTATTAAAATTCATTATAAATGTTGTTTTTTAGGAATGCAATAAAAAATGAGGGTACTACATTATTAACTTTCATTTTTTTTTTTTATCAATTTGTGAATATTAAGATGTTCTTTCCCTGTATAAATTTATTTTAACTATTAAATTTACATCACATAAAAGAAAAATCATAGAAAAATCATGGATAAAATATAAAATTATATATGGACTATTATAAAGAGTAGACTAATCAATGAAAGAATGGCCATTAAAATCTCGTTTTGGCGAAAAACCCTAACCCGCAAAAAAACCCAAACTATTACAGCCTAACTAACTATAATCCAAAATTATTACAATCTCACTAATTATAATATTATATACTGAAATTATAATTATTAGTTTACATTTTATAATTATTTTATTAGACAAATAATAACAAATTAAAAATATTTTATAATATTATCTAATTTAAAATGTATTATTGACAACTGTAAGAAAAATAGTACATTACATGATTTATAATGTAAAAATTCATAAATAAAATAAAAGATTTGGTTATCAATGTAAAAATTAATAAAATGCGTACAAATTTTGGAAATAACATTTTCAATTTTTCAAAAATTTATTTTTTTAGGTTTCTATAATAAATTTAGTAAAAGAAATTGTTAGTAGAAAGATGGAGATTTCAAATAGAATAAACTTTTTATTTTATTTTTTTTATACCTTTCATATTATTTACAAAAATAATTATACCACAATATGCAACAAAAATTAACGGTTATATAAAAAATTAAATTTTTTATTTTTCATTTTTTTATGTCTTTTATATTATTTACAAAAATATTTATATTTATACCAACCACTATATACACAACAAAAATATTTATATTTATACCAACCACTATATATACAACAAAAATGCAACACATGCCAAGGGGATTCGAAAACAACAAAAATATTTATATCAACCACTATATACACAATAAAATTACAACACATGCCCAAGGGGATTTGACCTTGGAACCTCAAGTAAAAAATTCAAAGTCATAACCATCAAGCCATCTAACTACATGTGACTATAAATTGTTGTTTAATAGACTATATTTACATTTCGTTTTCATTTAATGATATTTGAGAATTATCCTACATCGAAAGATGGGTACTCAAATTTGGTATATAAATACCTATGCAACATGAATTATAAAATGTGTATAAAAATATTAGGGCAACCTTGCATGTGCGTTTGGACACACATGTGCACGTGCGTGGGGCATGCTCGCACGTGCGCTTGGACACACGTGTGCGCATGTGAGTGTGCGTGGGGCACGCTTGCACGTGTGCTTGGACACACGTGTGCGCGTGTGAGCGTGTGTGGGATACGCTCGCACGTATGCTCGGACACACGTGTGCGCATGCGAGTGTGCGTGGGGCACGCTCGCACGTGCGTGACATGTGTTACGTGTGTGAACCGGGCTAAACAGAATGGGAACCGGCGGTTCCACTATAGAACCGGGCTGAACCGGATGGGAACCGGCGGTTCCACTCTAGAACCGGGCTGAACCGGATGGGAACCGGCGGTTCTACTCTAGAACCGGGCTGAACCGAATGGGAACCGGCGGTTCCACTCTAGAACCAGGTTGAATCGGATGGGAACCAGCGGTTCCACTCTAGAACCGGGCGGTTCCCGATTTTCGGTTGGAACCGGCACTGGCACGCGTGTTTCTGAGTCGAACCGGGCTCGCCGTTTTTTAAAACACTGATGGAAAGTATATATTATGACCAGTATATATGGGAAACACTGATGGAAAGTATATATTATGACCAGTATATATGGGAAGGTAGGCATAATATCATGTATTTTATGATAAGTCTTGATATAGTTTAGGTGTCTCTGATTTATTTCTATTACTATCGACTGTATTTGTTTATATAAGGTAAGCTTATATATTCATATTGATTAATGGATACTGAGTCTCTTTAGAGAAACCTAAGGCTCTTCACACTAGAGATGAAAATATTGAGATGGATGAGTGACAAGACAAGAAAAGGACGAACTATGGAATGAATATATTCGAGGGAACTTAGGGGTGACTTTAGTAGGTGACAAGATAAGGGGAACTAGACTTAGGTGGGTTAGCAATGTTCAGCACAAACCCAATACAATATCGTTTAAGAGGTACAATTTGTTCAAGTGGAAGGCTGGAAAGGGCAAAGGGAAGCCCAAAAGGACGTAGATAGAAGTAGTGTGAAAAGATACATGGACTTATAGTAATATGGAGGGGGTCTTGATAGAGCAGAATGGCAGAATATAATTTATGTAGTTGACCCCAAATAATTGGGATAAGGCTCTAATGATGATGATGAAACGACTATCTCTCTCTCTCTCTCTCTTTATCTATCTATCTACATTTTTTTCTCTCCCCTTAATGATGAAACCCCAATGAATTGACTTATGGATTTTTTTTTATTTCTCTCGTCTTGCACGTCATTTCTTTATTTCCATCCATCTCTTAAGGTTACATGTATAAGTGTCGGGTGTAGTTTTGGTCATCATACAAGACTAAAAAACTTTGAGGTGCTATTGAACCCAAGGGCGTGACCATGAGATAAATATTGAACGAACGCCTGATTGATATCTTAGCAGACGATGAATAAATTATGCAAACCCCATAGGTATTGATTCTTGAAGATATAAGCAAGGATATACTCTTGATGTGCTATACTGATATGATATGTCTAAGATTCATCATATGAAGGTCCTAATATGCCTTGAGAGTCTTGGCCCATATATGTCCTAGCTAACGACGAATAATAGCAAGAGGTATCAAACCATCTTAATTTGAGACAGATTCTGTGATACATATACTCTCAAGGCTAAGATATGCCGCTCCACATGATATTGGAGGAATTTGATGCAGTGCAACATACTATCCTTATCTGTTGTTAGTCAAATACGTGTATCTTAGTTGAACCGATCATAAAAGATATTAAGTCATTTCAATTCGAGACAGATTCTGGGATATATATATTTTCAATGCCCATATACGCATCTCCACATGATATTGGAGGAATTTGATGTGGTATGATACTGTTTAATCCATCGGTAGTCACATATGTGCGTTCTTTATAGACAGAGCGTAAGGATACCTCACCATATGATATCACAATGAGGTGTATCCTTGCAAATATATTCCACGAGGCCTCACATGCTTCCAAGAATCATATAAGTTGGACATTATTCAGATTTGACTTAACCCATCATCTATATTCATTGGCGGTCAAGATTTGCCTTGATTGACAGCCCCAAACTTGATATTTTGGGAATTGGTCCGAAACTCTCAAGAAATCATATTTAGGACAGTATATACATATTCCCAAAGTTTCACATCATTCGAAGTTAGCTTAACCTTGTATTCATCAGCAGCCAAATGCTTATGCGCCGTTTTACAGAAAATAACCAGGATGATCTTCGATCACCAAATTTGAGATTTCTTTAAATTTACGAGGAGTTTTCTCATGGGACTTGGATCATGACTTCTGACTCGATGCCCTATCAACCATGTAATCATATCATTCTCTTAGGAGAAATTGAATGTGATCTAAATTGAACGGTCTGATAGGGGGAAGTATACAACTTCTATGAAGTATTGAAACCTTTCCGTAAGGGGTGTGGTTTGTATAAGGCTGAGGCCCTAAACAATCAAAATAAATAGTATCGAAAGACGTTGTTTCAATATTGAAAATCTCTGTGATGATCTAGTAGATCTATGAATACTCATAAAATCTTGAAAATCGATGGTTTAAAAAATACATTACAAGATGTACCATTTTCAATACGTGAAATCTATTTTTTATCATGTTCATGGATATTGAGAGCGAGATCATCGATTCGAGGATTTTAGAGCATCAAAACAACCTCTAGGTTCCTTCCATGAAAGGCCGGTCCAAATTTCATAGAATTAAATACCTTAAAATAAGAAACCTGTCCCATGCCAATCAAAATGACCGAAACGCCTTCCAACCAAAATACCCGCCCTCTCTCCCATTATTCGTCATCTTCTATCCCAAAAACCCTCTGCTCTTCCAAACCCATCTCTGCAGCTCCAAAAGAAAAAACTCTAACCCTAATTATTCTCTGGCAAAACCCTCACCCTAACTTCTCTCTCTGCTCCAGCAATGGCTTCGTCTGCTCCAAAAACCCTTATCCAATCTGCCGTTCAAACCCTAAAAAGGTTTGTGAAGAAGCCATGGGAGATCACGGGGCCTTGCGCCGATCCAGAGTACAAGAACGCTATTCCTAGTCCCCTAGAATACAGGCGCTTTTGCCCTGCAACTCCTCCTATTAAGCCCTGTATTCCCACCTCCGAACCTGAGACTGTGTTTGATATCAAGTATTATACCAGAGATCAAAGAAGGAATAGATTGCCAGTTAAGAGGACGGTGTTGAAGAAGGCGGATGTGGAGGCCATGATGAGGGAGAAAAAGTTTGATTTGAGCGATTTTCCTCCTGTTTATGTAACTGAGAAGGTTCAGGAAGATGGGAACTTGAGGGGTGGTGGTTACCAGAAATAGGTGAGAGAATTGATTTTAAATTCAATAACAAAGTCCCTCTCTTTATGGCTTTGTCACAGTCTCTCTCTCTCTCTTTTATTTTTTTGTTGAGTTTCTGTGAAATTATGTTGTAATAACATTGTCGTTTGGTTTTTGAACCTGGCAATTAGTATCATTTTGCTTTCTTCTTAATGGCATCATTTGTGAGATGGGTTTCATCTTCTGACGAAGAATTGTGGTGTAATAAATTAATCTTTTGTCAGAATTGGTTTTGCTATGAGTTGGGTAAGTTTTTTGTTAAAGCTTAACTTTGATGAAGACAATGAATTTTATCAAAATGAGACTGCATTTTGATTTTCTTGTGCATGTTTTGTGAATTTCTATGGTCATTATCCGTTAGTATAACTGTTTTGGGGAACTATGTGCTCTGATGATTTGGTTGTTAGATGAATCCAGACTGTGATGAAGAACTGTGGATGGAATGAAATGAATTGATCTCTATTAGAAATGAGAGATTTGTAGATATCCATTTCATGTGTGGGTGTTGGAATTCCACGTCTTTTTGACTAATCACTTTTGATCTTTTATCTTCAGCTCCAAACTATTGGTTCATCACCTTTTGGTACTCGATGTGCTAGTTGACCTGTTTATTTAGCTTGCTTCTGTTGATGAACTAGCTTCTAATGTAACCTACCTAATTCGCATAAGTGCCTCTTCTTTGGCGTATCCTTCCTTGGTCAGTGATTTAATTTTTAGTGTAGCATGTCGCTTTTTCCAACCTAAGTTTTATATGTTTGTGACCTAGCTGGTAAAGTAACATTCCTCCTCTTTCCTTTGAGCTTGCTTCTTTTAGCATTGCTGGCTGCTTCTGTCAACGATATGACTCTTAACATAGGTTGCCTCCTTTTTGATGAATTTCGTTACTCTATGAATCAAATGAAGGTGTTGGCTATGATCTGATGAATATATGCAGGGTAAAACATATATTATAGAATCAATTTTAGAGAATGACATGAAATTCTTCTCTTATCTTCTTATTTGTGATGTTGGTAGCATAATTGTTAGCATCTATGTTACAAGGACATGGATAGGACAGTCAGATTCGAAGAATCCAATTCAGTTACTAATATTTTACCAAGTCTAGCATGACAAGTTCGTGCAACGCATGTGTCCATACATGTTTCTATGTAAATTAATTTGTAACTTTTTAACAATAAAATTAATTTAAAATAAAACATGTGGGTCCAAATGAAACACATGTGTCCATATCATAAGACACATGTGCCCATGTGACTCTTTAGTCTTACAAAACAGACCTGCATGGCTTCCAAAATGGACATGTGTCTTGTTCGTTCAATCGTTGGGCTTCCTTGTCCACATACCAGGCATGCTGTGTTTGCAAATCTAAAACCTGAAAATCACCAGAAACTTATTTCAACATGGGTTTCCATGTCCATACATGTGTCTTTCATGGCAATGCACATGTCCAGTGCATTGGCATGACAGATTCTCCTAATTGGATGTAACACGCATCTCGTTGTTTCATAGGTTATTATAGATATGTCCAAGACCTTTTTTTGAGAAGGTATTTATGTTTAGGAGAGAACAAGGTGATTGATATGCCTGCAGAGTTAAATGTTTGACATTAAGACTTTCTGTCTCTAATGGTGACTTGCTTGGTGACACTACTATGTGGACCCCATATAGTATAGGTTTTGAAAAATTGTGGGCAATTTTAGGCCTGTTATTTTAATGGTTTCTTTTCTTTTCTTTTTCTTATTTTTTTTTGGGGGAAATATGGAGATGGTTTGAAATAGAAATCCATCCAGTCATGCTTATTTGACTTCTAGTTTAAGTTAGGAAAGGCCTTCAACCATCCTAACAACCCTCATTCTCCTTATTTGTCTCTTTGTCTCTGTTCTTTTGTATAATATGCACTCCCTTTCCAAACTGAAGGTCTATGGTATTTATTTTTTAATTGTACTATTTACTATTAAAGAGGTTATTGGTTTGTATTTGGGTACTAATGTGGTGGAAAGGAATTGTGCCAGATTTGTGAGAGTATTTATTATTTTGACAGTGTCTGTTTTGACTGTATTTACATCCAATGAGTGGGCATTTTCTCCTTCGCCAGATTTGATGTTACTCATGTTGCAACTCAGTCGGATTGTTCAGTCACCTGGTACTTTACATAGGAGAAACAGATACCAACAAGATGGTATTATGTATTTCTATGAGGCCATTGTTTCTTGGGGAGTAAGAAGTAAGAATGGTCCCATAAACCAGTTTTGAAATAGAATTATACAGAGTTGTCTTCAGCTTCTGCTGACATCTTGGAATTCAGATTAAATCATACTTACAGTTCTTCTTATATCCCTTACACGGTTACACCTATTCATTGACATGATATCAATGCCATGGTAATTGCATGAAAGCTAGTTTTTCGTGTTATGCAAGACACATGCAATTTGATTGCCGTTCTATTAGCAGGATTTCTTATTTTTCCCCATATGTTCCTTCATCAAATAGGGCTGTAGATTCATTCCTCTAGACACTAGAGATAGACATAAGTAAAATCGTGGTCTTATGGTATAGGATGCTCCAATTTGACGAAGGACGTTAAGTAGACTGAGGTCAAGGTTAATTATGTCATATTTATATTATGTTTCTATTGTGTGCGTCAGTGTTTTGCACCTTGGCTCAGCCGCGGAACTTGGCCCCTGGCCTGGCCAAGTTGCTTAGGCAAGTCCTAGTTGACTTGCCCGAGTACGCTTTGAGCAGCCTAATGAACTAAAAAACCCAAAGAAATGAAGAAAAATACTAAAGATGAGGAAAAAGCTTTTTAAAAATAATAGTAGAAAACTTGTTAAATGCCATCTTTCCATAAAAAATGAGATAGGTAGAAAAAATATTAAAAAAACATAAACCCATGAAAAATACAAACAGAAGTAGTTATAAATCAATTACAATCGATTTCAATCATTTATAAATCAACTAAAATTAATTTTACAGCCATTATACGCCCCCTGAGTTTGGAGGGTTTCTGGCTCGCCAGAGCAACTCGGGCAAATATAAGTTGTACTCGCGAGTTGTAAAACACTGATGCGCATTGCTTTATGTATAAGGTATTTATATCATGGTACCATTGTGAATTTCCTATACAAGGGTTCTATCCCTCTCTCTTCAATGAAGGAAATGGGGTTATTCTCTCGGGTTTAGCAGGTGATATGCTTTGCTTCCTTGTTGATGTGTTATTGGAACCTATGGCCACAGACCTGGAGAGGTCATCTTTTTCGGAATATTTGTCTCACTTACCTGAAATTGGAGCATCTGAGAGGGGCAGAACAATAGTATCTTTTTTTTTATCATTCTTGTTCTAGTTTTATGACAACCATGAAAGGTAATCCTTATGCTCGTATCATTTACCCAAAAAAACAAAAAAAAGGATGCTCTTATCTTTGAAGCTTTGACACTGGTAGAGTTTTGTAGTTCAAGAGCTCAGATACTCAACTTTGACATCAGTGTTAATTACAATTCAGGGCCATAGGAATTTGTGTGTAGGGTGAAGCAACTGTTTGGTTGCATTATGATCTGGATTTGTTTGGATTTGGACAAATAGTGTCCATGAATTTGAATGTTGTTGAAGCCTAGGCTCATGTCACAGGTTTGGCGATTTTTTACTGTTCTTCTACAGAATACTAGTGGCATATGTTGTAGGAATTAGTCAATATTTATGAAAATCATCAGGTGGGTGAGATCTGTCGGGGTTTCTCCGTGGGAATAGTTAACACCATGGGAAATTTTTTGGATCTCTTTAGTTGCACAACTAGCTCATTTCAACACACTTCTCTTTGGACTCTAATCAATGTTTCAAAAAGCGGATCGCCCAGCGCTTGGGCGCATCGCTCAGGCTTCGGCGCCCAAAAAAAGCGGATATCCTTGGGCGCCCGCCTGAACCCGCCTAGGCGGCCGCCCAGGGGTGGAAAAATTGTGGGTTTTAGGTTCATTTGAAACCTAAAACCCATTAGAGCCTATTTTAGAGAGAGAAAAACTCGAAAAAAAAAAATTTCTACTGGGCCGCTCAGGTTCTGGGCTCCCACCTAGGCGCTGGGTGGCCTGGACCCCCCTGACCGCCTAGGTGCAGCCTAGCGCTTTTTGAAACACTGACTCTAATTCAGTTGTTGATTCCCTTTGCTAGAGAGGGCTACTTTAGAGCTTCCTAACTTATTCATGGATCTTCACACTACATTGGCATTCCTTTTCACTACAATGCAAAAAAAAGGATATTCCTTTCCACCGTATCATGTCAATGGGTCTGCTGTTTGCTGTTATCGTTTTGTGTTTTTATTTTTTATTTTTGCCTTGTTTATACCTCTTTGCTTGTCGGAATTTGTTACAACTTGATCTATATTCCTGATTATAGATTATATGCTCCATTAGGACCATATTAGGAGTATTTTTTACGACTCAATTTTCAGGGATGCGACCTCCTCAACCAAGCAATCAACCTCAAAAAAGAAAGAAAAGAATCGTACAGTCCTGGATGTGCTTGACAAAAATAATGTACTAAGATTGAACATAGACCAGTCCAACTTTTGGATGGTGATATCTAAATTTTTGGGGACTCCAAATCCCTTTTTTTCTTTTTCTTTTAAATACTCATCTGGTGTTCTAAAGTGGATCCCAAACTTATACTTTGACAAAATGCTATGGAGTAGGTCTTTACGTGAGGAAGTGTACACTGTCCTCCTACAGGAGCATGCTACATGCACTAGTGATTGACTGTAATAATATGGATTTCTATGGATTTATAGTGGTCTTAATGTTCTTGCTTGCTAGTGAGAAGTTTTTTGATGACTTCTAAATTTGTGCTAATCTTGAGGTAAACAAATTAAATTTCTTTCTGAAAGGGATTCTCATGTGAATTGCTTTCTACTAGGTGTTATGGGTTTTTGTATGGGATTAAATGATCCATGAGTTCTGTTTCTGATATATTTGGTGTCATACTTTGTTAATGGGCTTAGTTTATAGATGGGTGTTTGTTTTGAGTGAACAATGTGGATGTATTAAAACAATTCTCCTAGAAGTGATTTTCCATCTTAAATGTGCATGTCCTTCAGGGAGGCATTACATAGCGATGTGTTACCTTTTGTATGTATTGATTTTCTTTTTCTGAGTAATGAAGCCATGCTTCGGCCTGATAATTGTTGTCTTGAAGTCTCTTTTTGCTAACAGTTATTGAGTTTTAGACGCACTTTTGTTTTCTGGGCTTTTCTTTTAAGACATCTTTTATTCCCTTAATTTGTTTGTTGAAATAAACCTTAGCAGTCTAAGGGACATTCCATCCTTAACTAACTCCCTTGGCATTTATATATAGTCCTTACGTCTCTGCTCATGTCTTGCACTGGCCCACTACAATTCATAAGCGATGCACCCACTCTCTCCATTTTTCTCCTTCCCTCTTTTATTCCTTGTTAATTCTCTGAAACTTCAGCTCCTTTCAGAATCTACACCATCACCTTTGTTGACCAACTCCTACTCTCCCCTCCGCAATATCACCCTTCAAATTGTGTATTATTGATTTCTCTTTAGAATCTAATCTCTAGTGGTTTCTCTTTAGAATCAAATTATGGGGTTTGCTTTGTTAATCGGATCCATTGTAAGATGAACATTTTTTTCACGGAAAAATTTGTATGCTACATGTGGACTTTCTTTTCTTTTTAAAATCAGAAGTTGGTTTTTCTCTTGACTGTACATCCCATTTTCATTCTATCTTGATAGTTATGAGGTTCTTGAAGGGATTTAGTGATTCATTTTATTATTTAAGTAGAAGATATTGTTTCAGTAACTATTATGGGTGTTTCAATGGAAGGAAAGTTTATTATATGCATTTAAACCCAAGGAAAATAAAAATGTGGTATTTTCCTTTTGTTCTCAATGATGGACGGTGCAGATCAGCCATGTTGTCCATAGATGGAAACTCACCGGGGAATGGTTCATCCTTGTCATCTCTCTTTGAGAATGGATGGTGGATGCACTGGTTGTGTACTGTGTACCATATCCATAGGTCGTGTGTGGTTTAGTTTCCCTTCATAGATGTTTAGTTCTTAAGTAACATTTGGTGTGCTGCAAAATTTACAGTTTAACATATTAAGTGGAGTTTCACTTTATGAATGTGGTATGGAGCTTCAATACTAAAGTGATCTTCATATTATATCTGTAATGCTTGTTTCTTTCCCTTTCTGTGATCTTGACTCGCTGTTGTCAAGAAGGCTAGGTATTGTGATGAAATGCTGTCTCCGCAAGATAAGATCTCTCTCTCTCTACCTGTATGTGCACGTGCATTGTTCACGCTTGTGTGGTGACTATTTGTTCTGTGTGCAGGCCATGAAACATGAAGTAACCTGAATGGGCAGTTTAGAAACTTGGTTAACTAACAGAGCACTATACTCTGTCAGCATTTGGGTAAATAAATGCATTCATTCAATTGATTAGAATAAGTCAACCAGATTGAATGGAATCCTATGCAATTTATGAATTGGACCAAGAAGACATTAATTCCACAGTAGAGGTTTTCAGTTTCCAGTGTGGCATTAATGAAGTATTAATGAATGTAATTTACTATAATGGCTTCCACGTCAATTATAAGGGGAAGGTTTAACAAACAGACAAGTAGTCTTGTCTTTTTCTTCTCTGTTGACATACTTTTGGCTTCCTGGTCTTATTCTGATCAAATTCATGGCGCTCAGTTGTCCTGGGAAACTGAGATTTCATTCTCATACTCAACTTTTTTAATAGGGTAATCCCATAGTTGGGAATTGGGAATAATGGAGTGAGAGATGATCATCTAAGTTCTCTTTGTTATCTCACAGAGAGTGAGATTAAGTTCTCATCTTAAGTTCTCTTTGTTATCTTTTCCTTTTGCCGCCTAATCTTTCATGGTTTGCTCCTCCATCCTGATATTAAAAAGAATATTATAGAGGGGACCAGGCGCGCACGCATACACACACACAAATTGTAATACGTCATTCAGTTACAAACAAAACAATCCTACAATGTAGATGTTTCCTATAACCAAGATATAGGGCCGAGAATGGGTCAGATGGGTCCTGATGGATTTGGATTTGGATCTGAAAAGTATATGTGGGATCTGGATCTGTATATGGATCCCATCGGATCCAAAAAATTATTTTATATATTATTTTATACTTAAAATAATATCTAATAAAAATACTATATAATGTATACATATAAAGGGTGCGGTTTGTATTGAGTCGAGGCTCTAAACAATCAAAGTAAAGAGCAACTCCAAATAATGGCAAGAAATATGGTTTTAATATTGGAAATCTCGCCTTAAAGTATAGGGTGTGGTTTCTATAAGGTTGCAACCTTAAACAATCCAATCACGGTGTACCTCCAAATTTTATTATAACATGTAATTTTGGTGTATAAAATTATTAAGATTATCTCAAAATCTATTTTCGTATCTTACTATAAAATTTTAAAATCTAAAAATGGTTAAAATCAAGTAGATCTATAAACATATGAAAATCTTGAAAATGGATGGTCTAGATAATGTGTTGCAAGATGCACTATTTCTGAGATGCAAAATATTTTTTTTTTTCAAATTCATATATCTCGATATCGAGATGATCAATTAGAGGGTTTTCAATCGGTAGTCCAAAAATGCATTACAAGATGCACTATTTCCAAAACTCTAAATCCGTTTTTTTTTATGCCCATGCATCTTGATGTCGAGATGATTAATTTGAGGATATTTGGGCATCTAAACAACCTCTTCTAAGGGAATTTTTGAGGTGGGCTCTAATTTGATTGTTTAGAGCATCGGCACTATATTAATTTTTTTTTCATATATAAAATAATATATAATATCTTAATAACTAGGTTGGAACCCGATCGGATCTACTTGTACCCAAATCTGACCCGAATCCAAAGTTTGGATCCGGATCCAACTCATCGGATCCAAATATTAGATCTATAGGAGGATCCAGATAGAATCCAAAATTTGGGTTTTGGATTCAAACCGGGTAAATTCTTTGACTTGCCAAGATAACTTGCTTAATACCAGGCATAAGTGACAACATGAATAATCCAGTCTGTACCAAGTGAAAGAAAATTCAAATAATTTGAAATTAGAAAAGTATAATGTTCTTCAAAATTTCATGCCCCTTGCAGGACCATCTTAATAAGTTCCCCCTTGGAAATCCAAACTGGTCACAAGCATGACCAGTAGCATAAATCTCGAAAACTTTGCCATGCTGTCCACGAATTGAATCCATTTGTCCCTTTTCTTATTCTTCATATCCACTTTGACGAATCCATTGAAATGAAATGTAGATCAATAGCAGATGGTAGAAGCTCCGAATATGGAGTATAGGGTTAGTCATCATGATATGATCTGTTGCACTCATCCTCGCGCCTGTAATAAAAACCAATGATCCCTACTTTGAGATTAATATAACGGATGGGATTCCTGCACAAATCCGCGCTCCGATTCGAGGTGTCAGCCATGAAGGTCAGTAAAACCCACTGGAGAATTGAGGAACTTGGCTTCTCAAAGTATGTGAACCAGGCTTGTAGTGGAGCATAGAGGAGCTAGGTTCTGTGAGATTGTCTAAGCTTCTAAATGGGAGACTTAGTAAAGACTATAGGAAAATAGAGGGAAATTAGCCTTCCAGGAACAGGCCTAGTAGGGCTCAGAATTTACCGGTTTGGATCTAAAATTCGAATTTCAGACCTATATGGGTCCGGGTATGGATCTAATTTGGATCCAACAAGTCGGATCCAATCCCCAATAGTAATTCAAATTGGATCTGAGTATAGGGGGATCCGATCTGGATCTGACCCAAATTAAAAAATATTATATGTATATTATATACACACACATACACGTTATATAGTAATTTTTTGTTATATATTACTTTGTAGATGTAAAATAATTTATAATATAATTTTTTGGATCCAATTTTGATCGTGATCTAGATCAAAAATATTTTGGATCCGATCAGGTACAAAACATTGTGACTTCGGATCCGAATCCAAATCTCGGTGATCCGGACCCGATCGGACCCATTCTCAGCCATAGGACAAGCTTCCCAAGGATGGAAAATCTCGGTGTAAATCATAATGGAAAGAAGGAATACACCCTCTATGGATGGCTGCTGATTGTGGTTCATGGTTGATTGAAAAATTTTGAAAGTTAAAAAGCAGGGAACTTGAAGAAGGAAAAGTCTATTACGAGTTCCCTGACTCGTGACTCAAAAAATGGTGCAAATTTGGATGTTCTGTGAAGAAGTATAAGGCTCTAAAATTACAGCTTTTAAATTTTAGAGCTATTTATTTTTCCATATGCATGATAGCCTGGTCAAAAATATTAACTCCTAAATTTTGGATCCAAAATTCATCTCTAAAGTGATTTTTGGAAGGGGGATTTCACACCAAAACCTCAGCTCTTAAAAGAAACTTAACTTTCTTGTGTAAAAAGTATTATTCAAATACTTGAGTTGGCCAAGGGCCGAGTCCCTTGGCCGAGTTCGAGCGGACTTGGTGAGTCCTGCACATTCTAGAAAAAGCCAAAAAAACAAGAGTAAATTTTAAAAAGTAGTTAAAATAAGAAAAAGCAAAAAAACAAGTGTAAATTTTAAAAAGTAGTTAAAATAAGAAAAAGCATAAAAGAGGTAGTAGAAATCATTGGGGGTCTAAAAAGATGAAAAAACTCTATAAAGATGCGTTAGCAAAAAGTTTGATCTTGGTCTTGAGTATTTAAGAGAAATTTTAAAATATAGGAA